GAATGGAAGACAGACCAAATGCAAGTAAGCTTTTTAGTCGTGTCTGACCTTTTGTGATCCTATTTGGGGTTCTTGGCAGAGATACTTGAATTGTTTGCCATTTCCTTCTCCAGCTCATTTTACAGATGAGGAAACTGAGGCAAACAGGGTTAAATGACTTGCCCAGGTTCACACAGCTAGTAAGTGTCTGGTGCCACATTTGAACTCATGAAGACGAGTCTTCCTGACTTCAGGCCCAGCACCCTATCCACAGCACCACCTGGCTGTAAGTAAGCTACATTGTGGTTATTATTATTATTGTTGTTGTTTTTGTTGTTGTTATTTCAAGCTTTATGTTAAGAGAACTGGAAGACACTTCAGAGATCTAGCCCAAGCTCCTAATTTTGTAAATGAGGAAACTGAGTCCCAGAGATGATAAGTAACTTGCTTAAGTCACACAGGTAATAAATAGAAGTACCAAAATTCAAACTCAGGTCCTCTGAGTCCTAATCCATCGTTCTTTTCACTATACTATGCTGGTGTGGGACTGTATTGTCTGCTGGCCAGAGGAATGGAGAATAATAGGCTTGATTTGGATATGAATGATGACTTTAAAAGCTAAGTGTGGACAATGTGAGGTTGACTTGGTCTTCAGGGACTTTTGGTTTGTGGGTGTGTTGGTAAAAAAAATATAGATCTGTTTTTTAACTACCTTTCACAAAATCTATTTCACATGCAACCAGATCTTAGGGAATCCACCCCCTTTGCACCAAACACAGCCACAGGGAACAATCTTCTCCCAAACATTACTGAGGCTAAAGAAATATAAGAGGCTCCAAAGTTAAAGATTTTCCAACATGTATCAAAATGACAGTTCCTTGACCAGGATTGTCATGCCATGAATGGACATAAACAATTAATAGGAAAGGTTGACCATAGCTTCATAAGAAATTCTGTAACTCCTCTATTATTAAGTGTTCAACAATAACCCTGAAGACATATCTACAATACTTTTGTTCATAAACTTCATACTCTCCAGACCAAATTGTTTACATGTGAAGGGGTCAAGTCAGCAGAATAAATCATTGGCCATTATGAGTTGGCTGATACTGTGAATGAGTTTCAAAATAGTCATTTCTTATCCCTATTAATTAACTTCAATTAAAAGGATATCATAAAGGGCTACAAGGGTGTGGGGGAGTAGTTTACAGAACAAACTGAACATAGCTTTGCAGGGTATTTACAACACATCAATTACAAATTCTTGGTCCCAATCCTTTGGAGACTCACTGGCTATAATCAAGCACCTGAAAAGCTCCTGGATCTCTGGAATAGATCATATATTCATTTTTTTATCACCATGAATTAATCAAGGTAATTAATGTGAACATTGATACTGGTCATGCTCTGGCCTTGGTAATTAATACTAAGCAAGATGGTGTTTGGGGGGATAGAGAAGGCATCTAACAGAAGTCATGGTTCATGGTTGCAGTCTAATTATTGATTCCCTAGAAACACTTCCTTCTTTCCTGGAAGTAAGGGTATTTCTTCATAGGCCATCAGAACCAAGGAATACCTCATTATCACAAAACATTACGATTGGGTCCTGGAAACTCTTATGGTCTGAGACCCTATTCTAGTCCTCTGAAGATGAGAAAATATTCTAAGAGATGCAGAGACACAAGGATCCAGATAGTAAGCTTTTGACACTAAGGCTTCTCTAATCCCTAGTAAAGGCCAGGATGTAAAGTCTTTCTTGCAAGAGTGAGGAATGGGGATGAGACCTGTAATGTCATTGGCATAGAGAACTTGTAAGTGAGAAACCCCTTCTCTGAGACTCATAGACATAGAGCTACCTAGAGCACTGAGAGGTTAACTGATTTGCCCAGGGTCATGCAGCCAGGAAAAGTGAGAGGCAGGATTGGAACTCAGTTCTTCCTGGCTCCAAGGTAAGCTCTCTAATCCACAATATCATGCTGACTCTCAAAAAAGTGTGAGGCTATGGGAGAAGTCTATAGTGTATTTCTAGGTTATAGAACTCCATGCATAATTTTAGTATATAAATGTAGGTAGCATAAAATACTTCATTCAGACTTTTGTGGCTGTCACTACATACATACAATGTCTCCTAGATGAGATCCACAGACATACCAGCTTGGGTGATGTTGTACAGGTCTGATGGGGGATGTAGATGAGAGACTTTCCCAGCTCTCACAGAGACAGAAGGGTGACAAGCTAGCTGCATTGCAGTTTCTATGCCATCTTGCCAAAATGGTACAGAATAAAACCAGGATTCCTAGAGGTCTACAATAATGGTGGAATGGAACCCTGAAGTTGGTGTGCATAGGAAGGTTAAGCCTATCACTCATAGCCAAATGATTGGTACTGAAAGATGCTATTTTCACTGGCTCATACTTAATTTTATTTTTAATATTTTATTTTCCTCCATTACATGTTAAAACAATTTTTAACATTTCTTTCAAAGTTTTGAGTTCCAAATTCTATCTCTCCTTTCCTCCCTCTCCTCTCACCCTCCTGAGATGGTAAGCAATTATATAGAGGTTATACATGTGAGATCATATAAAACATTTCCACATTAGTCATTTTGCACAAAAAGACTTAAAGAAAGAAAGAAGGAAGGAGGGAAGGAAAGAAAGTGAAAAAAATAGTATACTTCAGTTTGTATTGAGATGTCAGTTCTTTGGTGGCAGCATGTTTCATCATGAGTCTTTTAGGATTGTCTTGGATCATTGTATTGCTGAGAATAGTTAAGTCATTCACAGTTCTTCATCATACAATACTTCTCTTAACGTGTACAATGTGCTCCTGGTTCTACTCACTACACTTTGCCTCAGTTCAAATAAGACTTTCCAGATTTCATATTTAGTTTTAAAATGGTCATTTCCACCTGAATCAAACCCTTGATATTCCATTTTATTTGTCTAAAGTCAACCCTCAAACCAGCATGGCAAAATGGAAAGAAAACTGGATTGAGCATCAGAAGCCCTGAGTTCATATCCTAAATCTTTCATAACCTGTCTGGGCTCCCATTTCTTCATATGTAACCTAAGTCAGAGGAGGGGGTGGTGGTGTGTGAAATTGATCATTTAGTCCCTTTCTAGTTATACTATTTTATGTGGTATAGTAGAGGCTTTTCTTCTGTGCCATTGGGCATGAAGAGCCTAGTGAAGACAACAGACTGTAGTGAATATGGGGAAAACCAAGTGTTAACCAATAGTCATGACTCCAAATGACATGAGTAGTAACTTATTTTATTATAAGACAAAGCAAAATGACATGCACATCAGAGCTCCTTATACTGAATACAAAGGAACCTGGCAATGAAGGCAGAGATTTTGGTATTTAAGAGTTACAGCAAAAAGGAGAAGTCATATAAGAGGAGAAAGGACAAGTTCCCTCCCCTAGATATGGAAAAAGTGGAGAGAAAGGAAGGGAGGAGCAAGGGAGAATAGAAGGGTAGGAGCAGCACCAGCCCCTTTTCCCTCTTCCTTGGGAACTGCTAGACCATGAAGATAGGATGATCTGCTTATCCAAAAGGGTCCCAGCTGCGCAAATTGTTTATCAGTCTGGTACAGACTGACTGATGCCTGTCTTGTAGCTGGTTTGATCCTCAAGGGTCACAGAGTTCAGGAAGGGTTGAAAGTAGCAAAGGAGCTCTGTCAGCTCAGAAGGGGCTTCATTACTGACTTGTTCTAGGTCTCCTCATACTCTGGGTTCAGTGTACCGGAAAACAGGGCAACTGAGAAGACAGGTTAAGTTGACTTCAGGGTCACAATGGTAACATAAAGATGTTATCATTAGTAGGTATAATTGGATGAATGACTTACGTGGGCATTTTGAGGGTCAGGATGTGGGATGGCACAGGGTGGGCAAATCTTGGGGAAGGGTCAATGATGTCATTGGGTATTGTTTATGGGAGCAATGATATCATAAGGTGGGCAGGACTTAAGTTTAATGGATCATTATGGGTAGGGCTTCTAATCTTGACATGAAATGGATCTTACAAATATTTGTTTCCAGCGGGCATGCTAAAACAACCTAAGAGTCTAATTGACTGGCAATGCAAATGCCAGGTTTCCTCTGACTAAAACAGGTCTTAAGAACAACTGTGCCTTTTTCCATCCTTTCTGACCCTAACCTTGCCCAGGAAGGGTTAGGAAGCAAAGAGACACCTTATTTGTTACATTTTAGAATTTAATAAGATTAGTAATGCATTTCAGTTGTTAAATTCAACCTGTTCAACTTCTAATTCTTTGTAATCACTTTTTTTCCCCTTTCCCTCAGGAGATGATGCAAAAGGGCAAAGAGTGAGTACATTATTCTGTGCTTGGTATCAGATCAACAAAAAGTTGGGATTTTATGGTGATTGTAGTCTCCAGGGGCAGCACAATGCATTAGAAAGAGCCCTAGCCTGGAGATCAGAAGACAGACTTTTGAGTCCTGACTTTCCTATTTATTGTGTGGTCTTGGGCAAGCCACCTTGGTCTCTCTGGGCATCTTCACAGTCCTCATCTGTAAAAGGAGAGAATTGTAGCAGATGATCTCTTAGGGTCTCTCCTCGGTTCTCACATCCTATGTCCAGCCTTGATATACTATAATTCTTTGTAAAGACTAAAGAATTCAGGAGGGGAGAGAGAGAGAGAGAGAGAGAGAGAGAGAGAGAGAGAGAGAGAGAGAGAGAGAGAGAGAGAGAGAGAGAGAGAGAGAGAGAGAGAGAGAGAGAATGAATATAGAGCTGAAAGAGACCTTGGAGCTTTCTATTACAACCTCCTTATTTTCGAATGTTCAATGTGAGGGTCAGAGAAGTTGTGACTTGCTATCGAACACTTACTTGGCTAGTAAGTCTCAGGCAGTAGCTAAACCCAGATCTTCCCAGCTCCAGGTTTAGAACTGTCATCACTACAATTCTAATGGGAGGGAGGGAGAGAGAGTGACTAGTCCTATGTCCCAACACTCTACATTAGCATGAGAGTTTGAAAAAATAAGTTTATAAAAGTACAATGGAACTAGAGGACCATCTCTATCCTGTCCTTTACCTGCAGGTTGATTGTTCTGGATACCCCAGCACCAGAGAGGGTATAACATGCCCTGATGCCTTCAAACCAATCTGTGGTACTGATAAGAAAACTTATGTGAATGAATGTTTACTCTGTGCCACTAATGCGTGAGTACAAAATTAAAATAGCTAGCTCAGGCTCACCCAGTTTATATTCTCAAGGGAGCTACTTCCTATTCTAAAGCCAATAAAAAGCATTTATTAAGCACTTGCTATTTGCCAGACACTTTGTTAATCACTGGGGATACAAAGAAAAAACATATATAGTCCCTGCCCTCAAAGAACTTACATTAGGCATATAAGAGGTACAGTGGATAGCGTCCTGCATGTGGAGTCAAGAAGGCCTGAGTTCAAATACTTCCTCACACAGTGACTAGCCTTGTTGCTCTAGGCAAGTCTTTAACCTTGGTTTGTCTCCATTTCTTCATCTGTAAAATGGGGGTAATAATAGCCCCTATTTCTCAATGTTGTTGTGAGGATAAAATGAAATATTTGTAAAGCACTTTGAAAACCTTAAAGCACTATATAAGTGCTAGCTATCATCATCACCACCACCATCACAACCATCACTTTCACCACCACCATCACCATCATTACATTATAATGGGGAAGAAAACATGTGCATATGTAGGTATATACACAATGAATACAAAGAAGACACAAAGCAACTTAAGAGGGGAAGGCCCTAACAACTTGGGGGGCTGGGAAAGTCTTCATGGAGAACATGGTATTTAAGCTAAGTTTTGAAAGAAGTCAAGGATTTTAAGAGGTGGAGGCAGAGAGCGTGCCAGGAATGGCCAACAGTCAGTACAAAGACATGGGGCAACAAGTAGGCCTGTGTCACTGGTTCATAGCATATGTGGACACAAGTAGTGATTTGTTAGAAGTCTGACGATATAAAAAGGGACCAAGTTGTGAACATTTTAAAATGCCAAACAGATGAATCAAAATTTGATCCTAAAGATAATAGGGAGTCAGTGGAGTTTCTTGAGTAGAGGGTGCAACGATCAGACTGCAGCATTAGGAAAAATCACTTGGGCAATTGTATGGAAGATGATTGGAGTGAAGAGAGACATGAGATAGGGAGGACAAGAAGAAACTAAAAAAGCTTGGAATCACAAAAATCTCATAATTGCAAAAGGCCCCAGAATGCAGGTAGTCCAATCCTTACCTAGAGTTAGAAACCCCTTTAAGACACTCCTTGCAAACTTGTTTTCCAATCTTTCTTTGGGCACTTCCAGTGACAGGGAGTTCACTACCTCCTGAAGCACCTTATTCCATTGCTCTGCCACTCAAATTTTTCTTTTTTAATTTTTTTTTTGGCGAGGCAATTGAGGTTAAGTGACTTACCCAGAATCACACAGCTAGTAAGTGTTATGTGTCTGAGGCTGTATTTGAGCTGAGGTCCTCCTGACTCCAATGTTGGTGCTCTATCCACTGCACCACCCAGCTGCCCCAGCCACTTGAGTTTGTATGAAGTTCTTCCTCATATTGGGATGAGATCTGCCTTCTTAAAGCTAGCAGTCAAAGCAGTAGAAAGAATACTGTTCAGGGAATCAAGCGATTAGGGTTGGAACCCAGGCTGTACAACTAATATTATGAATGCCCTTGGGACCCCTAACTTGAAAACAAGAAACTAGGTGATATCTAAGGTCTCTTCCAATTTTAATGATCGACCAGGATATTTTATGTACCCAAACACCCCATTTCTCAGATCTGTGGGACAAAATAGAGTCAACTACATTAGTATTTACCCTCTTAAAAGGTTTACTGATCCTGAACGTCCTCTCTTACAGAGAAAAAGAGCTGAACATTAAGAAACTGCATAATGGGGAATGTGTAAGTACATGTATTAGTTTTGGGAATTAATCTGGTCATAGCTGATTTGTTTCTTATCTGAAGGTCATTACACTGCAGTCTCTGTCATCTAGGACTCAGAAAACAAAACAAAACAAAACAGAAAAATGCCAAGACATTTCTGAGAACCTGAAATGATCTACTCATTCTTAACCTAGTTACTTCTACTTTTAATACAACTGTAAGAAACAGTGTGATATAATGGAAATACAACACCACAATGACTAATAAAGTCACAATCTTCAAATAGCTCAATAGGCTGGATGAGGCAAACCTAAGAAGAACAAATTTGATAGGGATAAATGCAAAATTGTGCACTTGCCTTCAGCTTCCCAAGTACAGGATGGAGAAGCATGATTGGCCAGTAGTTGATTACCAGAAACTTCTCTAACTCAAAAACATCTGCAAAAGGAATTATGCCATGCATGAAGAAACTAAAGCTGAACCAATGAGACAAGAGGACGGAAATAATGTAAATGGAAAAACTTCATTAAATAACATTGGTGAGCTTAGGTACTTTGAGCTCTCGTTCAGAGTTGCCCACACATGTCACAAGATGGTGAGCTCTGTGCAAATAATCTCACCAAATAAAATCCCACCCTTGAACATCCAGGGTTCAGCTAGGGGTGAGTTTCCTGCCTGTTCCCCTCATAGAAGTGACGCAGTCTGAAATCCATCCCTTTGCCCTCTACTCCCCTCACCTCTTTCCCTCCTCCTTATCAATCATCAATAAGATGTAGCACACTCTGGTTCTGCCAAACCACATGAAGAAAAGAGAAATAAATTAGAGGTTTAGGGGATAAAAAATGTGGGCAGCATGGAGCATATCCTGGAGTTGAGAAAAGGGGAAAGGACTTCTGAATATACATGAAAAGATCTGACTAGTGAGAGTCAGTTCTCTCCTGTACAAATTTACTTTGTACAGGGAATACACAGTAGAGAATCTCTTGAATGTAGCAATGATTTGGAAAGAGAGAATGACAGATCTATAACACAAAAATGCAGAAATGGAAGAAAATCTGAGATGAGAAATAAACAAAAATCTGAACATTGGAAGTACAAATGAATTAATCACAAGCCAAAGCACCTGAACTTGACAGAGTGCACATGATAGGCTTCCCAGAAAAATAGGATGCCTAAAACCAAGCCAAATCAAAACCCAGCTAACCAAACAAAAACCTGCATTTGATATAGCAGGAAATAATGGAAACAAAGTATCTAAATATTTTGCATAGAAACAGAATGGTACCAATTGATCAAATACACAAATTACTACCAGGGTAAAACCCCACTCTTAAAATTCTAAGCCTTGTACAGGCTTTCTTTCCAAAAGCAGATAAACTTTATAAAAAGTCCAGAACAAAGTTCTTCAGCTATGAAGAAATAACCTATTCTTAAAGGCAAAGAAACATATGACGCAACCTAAAGTAACATTCTGCAACGCTGAGCCTGAATATAAATCCCAAAATGCTATACTTTTGACAAAAGTAAGGCATTTAAATTATTCTTGAAGAAGAAAAAAAAACTGAGGTAAGCAGAATATTTGATCTGTGATAATTACAGAAAAGGACAAAAGAAAACTAGATAAATACAATTATTAAGAAAATACTAAGGGAGCTTCAGGATGGCACACAGACCAAGATGGCTCTGACCTTGCAGTTGCTGCCACAGCTGTCTCTGCTCCTCTCCCAGGCTACTCCAGCACTGTCTTTGGTCCATTCAGCATTTTATACTTGGGACAACCAAAATGACAAACCCAATTGGTTAAACATTATACTAACTTTTGGCACTACTGCAGGCGTATGGCTGTTGCTCCTACAACAACATGAAGAAGACATTTTAGAGTATGAAAGAATGTCAATAAAAACTAAAAGTCCATTGCCTGAAATTAAACACTGGTAGTTAATATTTTAAGGCATGTATCTTTTATCATCAGATACAACAAGCCATGACAATGGCAATTTAGAAAGTTGATGGGAGTTTTCTTTTAGCTGGTAGTTTCAATATCATTCTGCCAAGCTGACTTTTCCTTATGTGAAGTCATTTCAGATTCGGAATGTTCATTATGTAATAGTTTGGTAAATTGGGAAGACTGAGATGCTTCTAGTAAATCAGAAAAAAAAAGTTGCTCTCTTTTTTTTTCTTTTAGTATGGCCATTTGGGGCTAGAAAAAATGTAGAGAAGGGTATCTAGCATCCTATCTCTACACTGTGAAAGTTTAATGATTTACCTCTCAGTTCCTATCCTTTCTTTACTATGGCAAGTGCTTAATGCAACCTGCTTGCTCTTCTTACAGATCTGTTTTATAGTCTGTGATACTTGGCAGATAAATTGTTAGGGATTGAGGGTATACAGAAATGATTATGATGATCCTTATCCTTGAGGAGTTTACCATCCACTAGGGGAGGTACATAGGGCTTGCTGAAATTGTGATACCAACCAGAATGTAAAGTTTCCTGGGAAATACAAGGGAAGTTCTCTGAGAAGTCACAAGAAAGAAAGATATAAAGAAGAGGGATGACCCAGAAAAGCACCTGCTTACCAGTGAAAACCTACCAAACCTGGTTTGGCCTGAGGACCTTTACTTGTAGATAAGTTTAAAATTCTACTTGTAAAAAAAAAGAAAACAACAATAAAAGTAATCGTCTCATGTACATAAGCTCTTAAAAAAAGTAAAGAAATCGTTCAGAGGGGAAAAGAAATATAAAGTGTTTATCAAAAGATAAAAAGAACTTAAACAATAGAAATTTAAGGAGAATTTAAGGAATAGGGAGACAAAAGGAGGCAAAGATGCATTTATTTTAAAATATTTTATTTTTCTTAATTACATGTAAAAACACTTAATGTTCTTTTTTTTAAAATTTTGAGTTTAAGTTTTTTTCCCTCCCTTTATTCCTGAGACAGCAAGTAATTTGATATAGGTTACACATGTATAGTCATGCAAAACATATTTCCATATTAGTCATGTTGTGAAAGAAAAAAAAACACAAAACTGCCAAAAATTATTTTATAGAGCTAGAAAAAAATAACAAAATTTATCTTGAAGAGCAAAAGGTCCAGAATATCAGGAAAACTAATGAAAAGAAATGCAAGTGAAGGTGGCCTAGCCATACCAGGTCTTAAATTGTATTATAAAGCAGGATTTATCAAAACTACTTAGTATTGGCTAAGAAATAGAGTGGTGGATCAATGAAACAGGTTAGGTACACAAGACACAGTCATCAATGACTATAGTAATCTATTGTTTGATAAACCCAAAGACTCCAGCTTTTGGGATAAGAACTCACTATTTGACAAAAACTGCTGGGAAAACTGGAGAAGAGTATGGCAGAACCTAGGCATAGATCAACATCTTACACCATATACCAAAATAAAGTCAAAATGAGTACACAACTTAGATATAAAGGCTGATACCATAAGCAAACTGGGAGAGCAAGGAATAGTTTACTTGTCCAATCTATGGAGAATGGAATAATTTGTGACCAAACAAGAGACAGAGAACATTACAAAATGCAAAATGAATAATTTTGATCACATTAAATTGAAAAGTTTTTCCACAAACAAAGCCAATGCATCCAAGATTAGGAGGGAGACTAAAAACTGGGAAAGAATTTTTATAACCCATGTCTATGATAAAAACCTCATTTCTAAAATATGTAGAGAACTGAATCAAATTGATAAGAATACAAGTCATTCGCCAATTGATAAAGGGTCAAAGAATATGAATAGGCAGTTTTCGGATGAAGAAATTAAAGCTATTTGTAGTCACATGAAAAAATGCTCTAAATCACTAGTGATTAGAGAAATGCAAATCAAAACAACTGTGAGGTACAACTCTGATGTGACAGGTACCACATCAGACCTATCAGATTGGCTAACATGACAAAAGAAGAAAATGATAAATGCTAGAGAAGATGTGGGAAAATGGGAAGACTAATGCATTGTTGGTGCAGTTGTGAACTGATCTAACCATTCTGGAGAGCAATTTGGAACTATTCCCAAAGGGCAGTTAAAGTGTGCATAACCTTTAACCCAGCAATACCATTTCTAGGTCAGTATCCCAAAGAGGTCATACAAATGGGGAAAAGGATCCACAGCTCTTTTTGTGGTGGCCAAGAAATGGAAATTGAGCTGACTGGGTGCCCATCAGCTGGGAAATGGCTGACCAAGTTGTGGTATATGAATATCATAGAATACTATTGTGCTGTAAGAAATGATGAGCAGGCAGACTTCAGAAAAACCTGGAAAGATTTATATGAACTGATGCTGACTGAAATGAGCAGGACCAGGAGAACATTGTATATAGTAACAGTCACATTGTGTGATGACTAACTTTGATAGACTTATTTCGTCTTAGCAATGCAAGGATCTAAGATAGTTCCCAAAGACTTATGATGAAAAATGCTATCCACATCTAGAAAAAGAACTATGGAGTTTGAATGCAGATTGAAGCATACTATTTGCTCTCTCTTTTTTTGTTTCTTCTTTCTCATGCTTTATCCCATTGGTTCTAATTCTTCTTTACAACATGACTAATATAAAAATAGGTTTAATATGAATATATATGTTGAGCCTATATCAATTTACATGGTGTCTTGGGGTGGGGGGAGGAGAGAGATGGGGAGAAAATTTGGAACTCAAAATCTTATGGAAGTGAATGTTAAAAACTAAAAATAAATAAATATTTTTTATTAAAAAAACCACAAAAATAAAAAAAGTATGCTTTCATAAGCATTCAGACTTCATTCTCTAATGTCCCATCCAATTTAGAATGTGTGCTCACTGATGCAGCTCCTCATCGTGAATGGGCAACAGTATGATGGAGTAAAAAAGACTTCTGGAGAACAAAATAAATAGAATTTTAAAAGAAAAAAACTGAAAAGTAAAAAATTCCTGGTGGTACTTGATCAGAATTTCCCATATTCAAATTCTGTCTCAGATAATTATTTGGTTAACTTTGAGAAGTCACTTCACCTGAAATTTCTGAGTCTCATTTTCCTCAACTGTAAAAGAGGAATGATAACTATATTCTGTAATCCACAGGGTGCTTTCATTTATTTATTTATGTATTTTTTTGTGCATTTAGTTATTTTTAAATGCTCCTAGAATTGAAATGAGAAAGCTAAGCTCTAGAAAGGTTAGGTAACTTGCCCAAATAATATTGGGATTAAATAGCAGACAAAAGCACTTTTTCATCCTTAAAATACTTTATGAATGTAAGAAGTTCCTATTGTTGCTCTTGTTATTGCTATTATTCTTCAGTGCTTCAATACAGCACCTAGGTGGGTCCACATAAGGTTTTGCAAGAAGTGCTAATCTGGAAAGAGTAGAGTACATTGAGTATGAACCAGTGATAAATGTAGTCTGTTACCTGAGAATTAGCCTAACTTATTTAGCAGAAGATTATATCATGCAGTAAGTTGTAATACAGTCAAAATAGAACTTAAAATCATGTCATGAGACATCTGAAGTGGAAAATACTTAGCCTAGAGAAGAGATGACTTACTAGATATATTAAGATTGTTTTCATACATTTAAAAAGCTTTCACATGGAAGAAAGAGGCAATGGACTTGGCATCAGGAAGACCTGAGTTCAAATGCACTTACTAGCAGTGTGATTCTGGGCTTAAACCTCTGTTTGCCTCAGTTTCTTCATCTATAAAATAAGGATACTATGGGGCAGAGCCAATATGGTGGAGTAGAAGCAGTGACTTACTTGAGCTGTCCCCCAAACCTCTCCAAATACCTGTAAAAATGGCTCTAAACAAATTCTAGAGTAGCAGAACCCACAAAAATATGGAGTGAAACAAATTTCCAGCCCAAGACAACCTGGACGGTTGATTGGAAAAGTCTGTTGTGTCAAGCTTGGAAAGGAGCTCAGTTCAGCGTGGACCATACAAGCAAAGATGGGGCCTCAGTGAACCCAGAGCAGGTCTCAGGGGACTAAATCACTAGCAGCTGTTGCAGTCTCCAGATGTCTCAACTCACAAATTCCGAAGACAACTTAGGAGGTCAGTAGGAAAGGTCTGTTGGACCTCAGTAAGAGAGGAGCCTGGTGCGACCCCAGTCCCGGCATAGCCCTGGGGTAGTGGCCACTTCTGGAGCTCTCAGGCCACAAACAGTGGGGAGGGGATTGAGCAGCTGATCAGAAGGGGATGTCAGGGATCTCTTTGCTGGTGCTGAGGCAGAATTCTCTTGCTTTGCTCATGCTTGGATCTGGGTCACAGTCCTGGGTGGCAGTCCTGGGGCAAGGAGGAGTGCTAATGTGGCAGAGCTTGTGGTAGCAGTGGAGAGGGAATCCCCCTCATAGTTCCAAGGCAGAAAAGAGTGCTTGTGGTCACTCATAGAACAGAGCATAGACCAGGAAAGGAGTAAACACCTTGCCCGTGATCATACCACCTTGGAAGAACTGAAAATTTATAGGTACCTAGAAGTATCTCTGAAAACAGCTGCACGAAACCCCTGAAGCTTGGGACAGTATGCCCTCCACACTGGAAACAGAGCCCTACCTTAACAAAGAGTTTAAAAGTTAAGAAATTGGCTGGAAACATGAGCAAACAGCACAAAAAATCCAGACCATAGAATTTTACTTTGGTGACAAAGAAGATCAAAACATACAACCAGAAGAAGACAACAAAGTCAAAGCTCCTACATCCAAAGCCTCTAAGAAAAATATGAATCAGTTCCAGGCCATGGAAGAGCTCAAAAAGGATTTTGAGAAGCAAGTAAAAGAAGTAGAGGAAAAACTGGGAAGAGAAATGAGAGTGATGGATTATGTATATGTATGTATGTATGTATGTATGTATGTGTGTATATGTATATACATATATATGTATATAGACAGAGGGCACAGGGTGAGTTGAACATGATGGGATGATATCTAAAAAAGAAAATTAAGGGGTGAAAGGGGAATATACTGAGAGAAGGAGAAAGGGAGAGGTAGAATGGGGTAAATTATCTCACATAAAAAGGACAGGAAAAAGCTTTTACAGTAAATGGGATGTGGGGAGAGGTGAGAGAGAATGAATGAGTCTTACTCTCATTGGATATGGCTTAAGGAAGGAATAACAAACACACTCAATTGGGTATGAAAATCTGTCTTACCCTAAAGAAAAATAGAAGGGAGGGGGATAAGAGAGGGGGGATGATAGAAGGGAGGTCAGGTTGGGGGAGGGGGTAATCAGAAGGAAATACTTTTGAGGAGGGACAGGGTCAAAAGAGACAATAGAATAAATGGGGGATGGGATAGGATGAAGGGAAATACAGTTAGTTTTTCACAACATGACTATTATGAAAGTGTTTTGCATGACTACACATGTATAACCTGTATTGAGTTGCTTGCCTTCTCAATGAGGGTGGGTGGGGAGGGAGGAAGGTAGAGAATTTGAAACCCAAAGTTTTAAAAACAAATGTTAAAAATTATTTTTACATGCAGCTGGGAAATAAGATACAGGCAACGGGCTATAGAAAATCTATCCTCCCCTACAGAAAAATAGAAGGGGAAGGGAATAAGAGAAGGGGGGCATGATAGAAGGGATGGCAGATTGGGGGAAGGGGTATTCAGAATGCATGCCATCTTGGGCTGGGGGGAGGGGAGAGATAGGGAGAAAATTTGGAATTCAAAATCTTGTGGAAGTGAATGTTGAAAACTAAAAATAAATAAGTTAATTAAAAAATAAGGATACCAATAGGACCTATCTCTCAGTGCTTTTATGAGGATAAAATGATAATGCACTTTGAAAACCTTAAAATGCTACAAAATACTTGTTGTTATTGTTGTTATTATTATTACAATGAGGTAGCATAGTGAGTAGGGTGCTGGACCTAAAGTCAGGAAGACTTGAGTCCAAATCTGGCCTTGGACCCTTAATAATTGTGTGACCCTAGAGAAGTCACCTGATCTGTGTTTACCTCAGTTTCTTAATCTTTAAAATGAGGATAATAATAGTACCTACCTGTCAGGGTTGTTGTGAGAATTAAATGAGGTAATATTTATGCAGTGGTTGGCATAGTGCCTTGTAATAATAAGAACTACATAAATAATAGTTTAGTGATGATGGTGGTGGTGGTTATGCTGATACTGATACTTTCTCTAGATGATCACAGAGGGCAAAACTAAGGGCAATATATAGAAGTTACAGGTAATCAGTTTCTAGCTCAATACAAGGAGAGACCTAATAATTAAAACTATTCAGTAATGAAGCTAGATGCCTTGAGGTATAGTTAGCTTGCTGTCACTAGAGTGTTTAAGCAGATTGTGAATGACCACATGTTCAGGATCTTATAAAGTTGATTGGTTTGGTGGGCAGGTTGATATCTGATATCTGATATCTTTTGATGTCCCTTCCAATTTTAGGTGTCTATGAATCTCTAATATATAATTTTTTGGGGGGGAGGGACATGTAGATTGCATGCCCAAAAGAAGAACAAACTGTCTGTACTGTGGAATATATGCTCCACTGTGGATCTGTTAACTCTACTTATGCAAACAAATGTGCCTTTTGCAATGCTGTTGTGTGAATATTGAGATGAACGATTTGTTGGTAATGACACCCCTTCTTATAGGGCTTACACTGGGCTACGCCTGGGCCACCTGTTTCCCTCCCCAATTAAGATGATAAAATTCTGGCTTTCCCAATGTAGCCTCTCACTGTGAGTGACCTAGGAGGTTCACCATCTTTGTATCTGTTCCTTAAGCAGAGTCATGAAAAGTAAACTCCATTATTAGCCATATTCAAAAAATAAAAAAAATTTAAGAAAGAAAAAAAAGAAAATGTGTTTTAATTCTTCACTTGAATCCATTAGTTTTATTTCTGGGGGTAGATAGCATGTATAATCATGAGTCCTTTGGAACTATGATTGGTCATTGTGTTAATCAGTTATTGAGTCTTTCAGAGTTGATTATTATTATATTGCTGTTACTGTAAAAATGTTTTCTTGGTTCTGCTTATTTCACTTTGTCTCAGTTCATATGTCTTCCTATGTTTTCCTGAAACCATCCCCTTCATCATTTTTATATTACAATAGAATTCTATCACATTCATATATCATAATTTGTTTAGCCATTCCCCAATTATTGGACATCCCATCTGTTTCCAATTCTTCACCACCACTAAAAGATACATATGTATGAGTGTATGTATGCATGCATTTTATGTAAGGTTCATTTTCCTTTTTTCTTTGATAACTTTGAGGTATAGACCTAATAGCCATATTTCTGGGTCAAGAGGTTTGCACAGTTTAATTGCGTTTTGGTCATGGTTCCACATTGCTTTCCAGAATGAGTGGACTAGTTCACAGCTCTACCAAGAGTCTGTTAGTTTGTCTGTTTTCATACATCACCTCCAGCATTTGTCATTTTCCACTTTCTGTCACTTTATCCAAAACAATGGTGTAAGGTGGGACCTCAAAGTTGTTTTAATTTGGACTTTTCTAATTATTAATGGTTTATAGTATTTCTTCATATGTCTATTGATAACTTGTATTTCTTCCTCTGAAAGCTTCCTGGTCATATCTTTTGACCATTTATCAATTGGAGAATGGTTCTTTTTCTTGTAAATTTGGCTCAATTCTCTATATATCTTCAAAATGATACCTCTGTCAGAGAAACTTGCAAATATTTCCCATTTCTTGTTTTTATTCTAATTTTTGTTGCATTTGTTTTAATTGTGTGCAAAAACTTTTCAATATTATGTAATCAAAATTATCCATTTTACCACTTGTGAACATCCATCCCTCTATTGTTTCATCATAAACTCTTTCCCTATGCATAGATTTAAAAGGTAATTGCTTTTACACTCCATTAATTTGCTTATTCTATGACTTTTGAGTTTATATCATGTACCAATTTTGAGCTTACCTTGGTATAGGTATGAGATGTTGGTCTATGCCTAATTTCTACCAGATCACTTTCCAGTTTTCCCAGGAGTTTTTGTCAAATAGTTTGTTCTTGCCCTAATAGCTAGGACATTTGGGCTTATCAAATACTATGCTATTGTGCTCATTTGCTTCTGGGTATTATTTATATAATGTATTCCTTTGATCATTAACTATCTCTAATTTTTAATTTGTTATTCAATGCCAAAGGTGGTGCAGTGGATAGAATGCCTGGCCTAGAGTCATAAATACCTAAATTCAAATTTGGTCTCAGATACTAGCTGTATGAGCAAGTTACTTAACTCTGTTTGCCTCAGTTTCCTCATATGTAAAATAATTTGGAAAAGAAAATGGCAAATCATTTCAGTATCTTTTCCAAGAAAACCTCAAATCATGTCACAAAGAGTCAGACATGACTGAAAAATGATTGAAGAACAACTAAACAACCAAATTGTTTCTGTAATTATAGCTTTGTAGTATGAGTTGATGTCTGGTACTGCTAGGCCACCTTTCATATTGTTTTTGATTGATTCCTTTGAAATTTTAATTTCTGCCAGACTACTTTCCAGTTTTCCAAGCAGTTTTTGTCAAGGGCAGCTAAGTGGCACATTGGATAGAGTGACGGGCTTGGAATCAGGAAAACTGTACGTTGTATTAAAGCTGTCCCTCTTATCTTTGCTTCCTTGTAGGAAGGAATTATTTTCTTCAGTGAGTTTTTATACTTCCTTTTCCACTTGGCCAATTCTGCTTTTTTAAATTGTTCTTTTCTTCAGTGAAATTTTGTACCTCTTTTTCCATGTGGTCAATTCCACTTTTTAAGTCATTCTTTTCTCCATTGAATTTTTGTACATCTTTTGCCATTTGACCAATTTTTTTAAGGAGTTATTCTATTCATTGGATTTTTCTTCCTCTTTTACCATTTGGCCTATTTTATTGTTTAAGTTATTTTCTTCAGTATTTTTTGGGCCTCCTTTACCAAGCTGTTGATTCTTTTTTTTTCATTATTTTCTTGCATCACAGTCATTTCTTTCCCCAATTTTCCCTCTATCTCTTTTATTCAATATTTACAATCCTTTTTGAATTTTTTTTTTTAGGAATTCTTTTTGGGCCTAAAACCAATTCACATCTTTCTGTGAGGCTCTGGATGTAGCAATTTTGATTTTGTTGTTTTTTGAATTTGTTGATTTTCCTTGTTAACATAGTAACTTTCTATAGTCAGGCTATTTTTTGTTGTTTGCTCATTTTTTCTAGCCTATTTTTTGACCTTTAACTTCTTGTTAAAGTTGGTCTGTACTCTCAGGGTGGAGAGGTTACTGTCCAAAATTTCAGGGTTTTTATGCTGCTGTTTTCAGGGCAAGTTATGGGGGGATCTCTAAGTTTTAAGTTCTTCCAAGTTGATATGATCTCAGGAGAGGTGTGGTCACCACTCTCCTGGCCTGTGCTCTAGTCTATGAACAACCACAAACATTCTTTTCTTCCCTAAAACTGTGACCATGGTCCCTGTTCTCCTGTGGTCACATGCTCTAGTGTTCTAGTGCTTCTCTTTGTTGTGGGACTGCAACTGGAACTCTGTATGGACACTGTGACAGAGTCTAGCACCTAGTGTTAGCACAATTTCCCTTTCCTTTTCATCAGATTTCTGACCCCCTTACAGTCTGTGTGCTGAGAGCTCTGGACGCTGCCTCCAAGGACTCTTGCTGGATTGCCAGGCAGGGCCTGTGTTGGACTGAGCCCCACTCTCATCCTGTGAGACAGACCATCACTGATGACCTTTCAAATTGTCTTGGGCTCAAAAATCGCTTCATTTCATCCTTTTGTTGATTCTAACACTCCAAAAATCATTTTGAGGCATTATTTTAGTCATTTGGAGGGGAATTTGGGAGAACTCAGGCAAGTATCTGCTTTTACTTTGCCATCTTGGCTCTGTCTTATGTCATTTTTTTTGTATCCCTAGCACTTAGCAGAGTGCCTGGCACATAGCAGGCATTTAATAAATATTTATTGATTGAATTAATGGATGAGCACCTTGTTATTTAACCACAAAGCTTCTGTCATTTTCTTTAGACTTATTTGAAGATTCTTGATTTTCCTTCCCAGGGTTGGCTTCTCACTACCTTAATATTAAACTATTGGTCCCTTTTCTCATATATCAGGTCAATCAGGAATGATCATTACTTATCTATATATTTAATGAGCAACTGAAAATTTGCTCATAATAAAAATACATGGTACTGCAATTACTCTGTTGCTTTGGATATAGACAATCTTTGAGTAGAAAACATTTTCTTAAATGAATAGTTTTGAACAGAAGACAAATATTGGTATACACCAAAAATGGCACTCATTATAAACTATGATAAAGTTTTATGTAAGCTTTGCTTGGGGTATTTGAGAGGAAGTCCAGCTTATTTGGTTTAATATGGTGTTTTACTAAAGGGCAACAACTCTTTTTTTTTTCTGTCATGTTTTATTTAGTACTTTATTTTTTCCCAGTTATATGTAAAAACAAAAGTGCAAAAATTATTTTTTAATTTTTAAATTAAATTATTTAATTTTAGTTTTTAACATTCTCTTACATAAGATTCTGAGTTCTAAATTTTCTCCCTCTCTCTTCCCTCCCTCTTCCCCAAGATGGGATGCAATCTGATATAGGCTCTACGTATACATTCTTATTGAACATATTTTCACATTAGTCATGTTGTAAAGAATAATTAGAATGAATGGGAGGAACCAAGAGAAAGAAGAATCAAAGCAAAACGAAAAGAGAGAGAGAGAGAGAGAGAGAGAGAGAGAGAGAGAGAGAGAGAACAAATAGTATGCTTCGATCTGCATTCAGACTCCATAGTTCTTTCTCTGGATGTGGATAGCATTTTCCATCATGAGACTTTTGGAGTTGTCTTAGATCCTTGTATTGCTGAGAAGAGCTAAGTCTCTCAAAGTTAGTCATCACACAATGTGGCTGTTACTGTGTATAATGTTTTCCTGGTTCTGCTCACTTTACTCAGCATCAGTTCATGTAAGTCCTTCCAGGTTTTTCTCAAGTCTGTTTCACCTCCCTGGGGCTCAGGATCTCCCACTAGTTTACTGAGATACCGCCCATCCTGTAAAGGTCTCCTTCAGCCACAACAAGAAGGATCTTTCCCGTTAATCCCCCTAGCCTCACAAGCTTAAAAATCTGCTGCAACCCATCTTTCTGCTGGCTCCACTATTCCAGAATTTTTCCTGGGGCGTTATTATCTGAGTTTTTCAAGGTCAATAAGGGAGGGTGAGAGTGACTGACTGTTTACTCTGCCATCTTGGCTCCTGGAAGTCCCGCAATAATTTTTAATAGACATTGTGTTCCACATTTGGGCAATATGGTAAAGGAGAAATGTCTTCTCTCCCTTGTCATATGTGTCTATATTTGTAACAACATGGTAACAGGGAACACCTTCAATATCTGACAAAACTGGCACATAGAATGTAGCCTATGATTGTGTACATGTAATAATATAGACAATTGTTCATTACCATCCTGCCACCCTCACAGTTACAAAAATATCCCAGTTCTTTCCACAAATAACATGTCTTTAAGTATTGATTCTGTAACCACATGCTTCTTTTTCAGGAGGAGCAATAATTCTCTGACCTTAAAGCATATTGGCAAATGCTGAATCCAGACTCAGGACAGTAGCAAAAGATTGCCTTCTGCAATCAATTTCCCAGAATAGGACTGGTATATACACAACGAGTCATCCTCTAGTATTAGGCTAAGCTGAAAACAATGGTATTGTGAGATCTGCTTCTTGATTTTCTTCCTCAATAAATAATTCTCTTCAGGACTTCTAAAAATTGTATGTTTTTCTTCCATCAATGTGCTTAGCACCTAAATAATTTTATCATTTTTAAGAGGTGAAAAGGTCATACATAGGTCAGTTAATAATTACAAAAATACAAAAAAAGTATTGAACTGTTCATTGGCACAAAGTGCTTTTCAATCATGACTGAAGGGCACTGGATTTGGAGTCAGGACCTGGTTTCACATTCTGATTCTTTTATTTATTTAGCTTTGGGAAAGTTACTTTCTCTGGCCTTTATGTATAAAACTCACTCTCTGGGCATCATACATGAAACTTCTCTCATTTGTAAAACAAAGGATTATACTAGATAATAATAGGATGATGGGTGTTAAAAGAAAAGAAATCATTTAGTCCATCTCTTTCATTTTATATTCTCTAAGGTCTCTTCTAAGTCTATGTCCCCATAAGCATTTTAAAGGATTGTTGAATCATAGAATTTGATCTGAAAGAGATATTAAAAAAATCTTAGTTCTATGAGGTTAGAGCTTTATAAGCTTTATTAAATCTGTTTTATAGAGAAGGAAACAGAGGTCCAGAGAGAGGAAGTGACTAACTCAAGGTCACATAGCAGGTAAATGACAGCATTAGGATTAAAACACAGGACTTCTGACAACTCCACTATTCTTTCTAGTACATGCAAAACTCATATATGGACATGTGCTGTGACACTATATTAATGAATCACAGAATGTTTAATTAGCTGGAGTCTTAGACACCCTTTGATGGGACTCCATTTTACATGTAACCAGCAGGTGTCAGTATGGAGCAAAGTTGACCAACTAAGCACTCTCCTTTAAATTTTCTTTTCCCAATAGAAAACAAGCAGGTTGATTTCTCTCAGGCTGCCTGTCTCCTTGTAATGGGTCCAGCTTAGAGGGACACTCACATTCAAGGTAGAAGGTCACCTAAGACTGCCTATATTTTAAGTAACTTGGATCTGCTGCAAAGAATTTGGTTTTAGCCTAGGGGAAATGGCCCTCAGGTCCACATCTTTCTCTGCTATTTTGGAAAATATGTTAGACAAAAGTGATTAATAAATCATTATACATGCAGGAAATTGGTACTCAAAGAGACAACTACCTCTGAGATCATATTGTGCTTTCATGGACAGCATTCTGCTTCAGGAGAAGGGGAATGAGAGTTTCTTAAGGAAAGTGGCATCCGTAAGGGAGAGAAGGTTTTATAGAAAATGGGAAAGAAAATGATCATGGGGAGGGAAGGAGGCAAAAATGGTTTGTATAATGATGAGACAGTAAAAAAAAAAATTCTCCCATGAAGCAATATTTCTATTGTGTCTGTCTCCTGCAGGAACTGATATTTCTAAGAGTGCTACATGACAAAAAAGGGAGGAAGCAAGATCTACAAGGCAATAATATAGATATTGTTTAGAAGAAGAAACTGAAAACTTTAGAAACTTTGAATCCATGAGGAACACAGAGAGTGAAGACATAATAAATAAGCATAAGGACTATGAATTAATGAAAATTTAGAATAAAATAAGAGTATGAGATTAATTCTTTAGAAAAAATTTAAAAAAGATTTTTTTTTAGAAAATTCTTTAGAAAATTTTTAAAAAGTTGAGGGAGAGGAGAGGAAGGCAATTTGAACAGTAAAAAGAAGGGAAGAATTGGATAAAAGGAATGAATGGTACTTCAAAACTGAAGAAATGGGTAAAATGGGGTAAGAAGGGGGACTTAAGAATGAGAGGAAGAGAACACATAGGAATAAGGTTGTCTTAAATTAGATTAATCAAAAACAACTGAAAAGACAAGAGACTATCTTTATGGAGAAAAAAGAATAAAAATATTCTTAATTCAGAAAAAATATTAAAGATTTTTAGAGGAAAATATAAATTAAACTCATAACTTCAAATGGAAAGACTTAAAATACCTAATAAGATAAGCATGATAGATTAAATAAATAAAAATCTCAATTAATTGATTATAAGTAATACTTCTAAAAGACATGCACAGAATAAAAATAAAGACCTAAAATAAAATTTACCATGCATGACATGAAACCAAAAAAAAAGGTATAATAATGTGAGATGAAGCAAGCCCCCAAAATTCACAACATAAACTAGGAAATTACATTATGCTGAAAGGAACCATAGATAACAAAATAATATCAGTGTTTAATTTCTTTGCTTCAAGTGTCTTTGCATCTAAATTCATGAAGGGGAGGAAAAAATTGAATTACAAAAAAACAAAACAAAATAAAAACCAGATAATAACTCAATAATAGAAAGTGATTTCAATGTCAGTCTCTCAGTTTCTGATAAATCTAAGACAAAGATAAAAGGAAAAAAATATGAAATTGAACAAATTTCTGGAGAAACTAGAGCTAAAAGACATCTAAATGCTAAAGAATACCTATATTTCTTATTATCAGATGGAACTTTTACAAATCTTGACCGTATGTCAGGGCACAGAGATATTGCAAATAAATCTAAAAAAGGAAAAAAAATAGCAAATATATCCTTTATGTATTATAATGCATTAAAATAATAATCATTTTTGGAGGAGCAAGCAAAAGACTTAGACCTAAATGGATATTTGTCAATGAAATTCTAAATAATTAATCAAAGAATAAATCAGAGAAACAAATGAAATGAAATGATAGTGGTGAAACAACATGCCAGAATCCCTGGAGTGGAGATACAGTAGACCTCAGGGAAAAGTTGTATCCTCTCAAAATATAAACTAGCAGAATAGAAAAAGAGAGGGGGCAGCTAGGTGGTGCAGTGGATGGAGCATCCTTGCACATGCTACAGTCAAGAGGACCTGAGTTCAAATCCGGCCTCAGACACCTGACACGTACTAGCTGGGTGACCCTGGGCAAGTCACTTAACCCCATTGCCTAGCCAAAAAAAAAAAAAAGAACAGAAAAGGAAAGGATTAATGAACCAACAAAATATTGGAATAAAGGAAACTTTTAGAAAAATATAATTAAAAGTAGCATCAAAAATCAAAAGCATTTTACATAATAAGGAAACAGAAGTTTTCTCAGTAAATATATTAGTAAGTAATGCTATAGTTCTATAATATTAGGAACAGCCACACAACAAGAGCAAATAAAGTCATAAACATATGCAGAAAAGTAATAAAAGTATACATATTCCCTGATGACACAATGATACACTTAAATCCCAGACAATCATTAAAGATACTAGTTGAAGCCATTAATAGCTTCAGCAATGTTGCAGGCTAAAAAAAGTCTCTCAAAAATATTTTTACACAATAACAAAATCCAATAGGAAATTTTGAAGAGAAATTCAAATCAAAACAATTAAAAATGCAAAACAATTTGGGATCCAAAAAAACTTGTATATATTAAATTAAAAAATTCTCCTTATAGAAATAAAGAACAACTTAAATAGCTGAAGGAATACTTAGTTCTCATGCATACAAATAATATAATAAAAAATGACAATGCTTTCAAAGTTAATTCATGATTTTAATGCTATACTACTCAATTAATCAAAAGAATTCTTTATAGAACTTGATAAAATGATAATAAAGTTCGTTTGTAGAAATAAAAGATTAGACTATCAAGAAAAATAATGATGAAAGTAGGAATGAATGGGGAGTAGCAACTACAGACCTCAAACCATATTATAAAGCAAGACTCATTAATTTTTTTAAGTAGAGAAGTAGATCAATGGAATTGATTTTTAAAAAATAGAAAAAAGTCAGAAACCATGGAATTCAATAATCTAGTGTTTAATAAACCAGAAAACATAAATTACCAGTAAATAAGACCTTATTTGATTAAAAACAAAACAAAACAAACAAAAACTACTAGAAAAATGGAAAACAGTTGGCAGAAATCAGAGAGAAACATCTTATATCAGCTATATACCACCCAATAGCTGGATGCTAGTTGGTACAGCGGAGAGAGGGGAGGTATAGAGTTCTGAGTCAGTAATTAGGAAGATGCAAGTGCAAATGCCACCTCAGACATTAGGCTCTGTGACCCTGGGCAAATCACTAGACCTCTGTTTACCTTCAGTTTCTTCATCTGTAAAGTTGGGACAATAATAGCACTTACCTCTCAGGGTAATTGTGAGGACCAAATCAGATAATAATTATAAAGTGCTTAGCACAGTGGCTGGAACATAGTAGGTGCTATACAACAGTTAGCAACTATTACTATGCTGTTTTCCACAATAAATTCATAATGGATACTTGAGCTTAATATTAATGATCATAGGATAAAATTATATTATTAATTTATTGTATATATGCATATATATCCTATCAATTGTTAAAGCTATTACTTATGTGTGAGTATATGTTTATATATATATATTTATATATACATATATAGATCAATAGGTACATATCTATATCTATTTTTAATAATTATTTTTGATTTTATAATTATTTTAATAATTATTTTTTATTTCCCTATCTTCTCTAGGCTGGAAATTCAGAAGCCACTGATGACCCTAATCTCACTGCTGATGGGCATGGAGGCTTTTACCTGCTCTATTTTTAACCGGGGATAGTTTCCTTCTCTTTACCCTAGCGGTCACCAGCTCCTGGGAATTTACTATATTAGTGAAACTTTAGTGCAGGCACCCAACTGGCTTTAGCTTTACCACAACTCAGGATTTCTGAGCACAAGTGATGCACCAGCCTCTGCCTTTCCAGAAGCCTAAATAGATGTGTTCTTACTCAAAGGGTAGAGATCATTATAAAAGATAAAACATATAACTTTGATAAGAGGAAATTGAAAAGTTTCTGCACAAACAAAATGATTGCAACTAGGATAAGAAAGGAAGTAGTCTAATGGGGAAATAAATCTAGTAT